AGAGCGGTTAGTAATGGTATCCAGTGTAATAGATGTGGCTCGTGGTACCAAGAAAAATGCTCCAAGATGTCGAAGCAGTGCTATGCGCTGCACCTTCAACACGGAGAATTGAAGTGGATATGCTCACAGGGCGAGGCATTCTGACGCAATTTGAAAGGAGTCTTGGTGAGGGCTGTGACCATCAAGTCACCACAAACCTCCAACACTCGCGCGCCGAGACCAGCAACGAAGCACGTGGAGGCGGTGAATCCTATCGTTAAACATGTTATGAAGGAAAACTATGGAAAGGAGAAAATCACGAGCACAAAGGAAAAGAAACCACGCAAAGGGACTACGGTTAAACCGTTGGAATTGATAGAAGTGACTGCACGTATAGAACAGTTGGAGGAAGATCTACGAGAACTGCAACGCAGCACTCAAAAGCTACTGAGTCGAACGAGAAACGTCCTACTGCATAACTTTGCGGAGCCAATGATTCACGATACTAAAGCGCGACGAGAGGTGAATCGCAGACACGTTCAAGCTGTTTTCCGACTGGCTGGTGTACCGGCCAATACGCCTTATATTAAGTACCACAGGGTTGGGTTGCGGAAGCAGAACCAGACAGCCAGACCTGGGTTTATACTAGTAGTATTTTACAGCACATACAGCCGGGACTTTCTGCTCTCTAGGGCTGTTGCAGTGAAGATGAACACCAGGCGGCGCACCAAAGTTAATCCTGATACAGTTCATCACACCCAGCCGGGAGACATCCCCATTGTTCCTGCAATAGGAATAATGCAACAAAAGAAACCCGGAGTTATTCTGAGTAAACTAAACGCCCATATGGCTCGTGGAGNGTAGGAGTGGTCGAAGCATGCCAACGCAGGGTGTTCCATCAAAGTCTATCAGCTGGGTCACCGTTGAGCAAGTCCACACCCCTAAAACCCAAACTAGATGGGCAAAAAGACGACAGCAAAAGGGAGAAAAAGCCCAGGCAGTCCCGAGATGGAATCCCTGGGAAGAAAACAGATAACGGAAGAGCAGACGACCCACTAAAAATCACTCCATCAAAGCCATCCAAGGCTGCGGGAGTTAAAAAGATGGGTGAGACTACGGTCGCTGATACCAAGGCGAAATCAGCGTCCGTTAGTTGGGTCACACTGTTAGCAAGGAATATTCAGGACACCCCTCTGAGTATGACACTATCAGTGCTTAGAAGGCAGCGAGCGTCCACAAAACGACTCGGTGAGGAATTTGGGTGAACCCCCAAAGATATAACAAAGTCTGTGGGGGGTGTAGCCTGGTCGTTCACGCAGCCTGATCGCCCGGTACCCGCAAATATGTTATCAAAAAGCGTAATAGCTCCTCGGGCCTTACGTCCGAGGATACATCCCAATCAATAGAGAAGAGTTGTATGAATGCAGGGGTGGACACCGTTACAAGGTGATGCACTAACGCCTGAAGTGTTAGGAGAAAATGGGGAGAGTTGGCGACGCGCACTCAAAACTCAGTGATAATAGCTATCAGTGAAACTTGGATGCGGCATGAGTACGATGTAAAGAATCCCAGAGACTACTCGGCTCTTAGGCAAGATATAGTGGACGGCAGACAAGGTGGAAGAGTACTCCTGCTGGTCAAAGCCACTTACACTCAATGGAACTTACCAGTAAAACTGGCAACACCTAATACTCAAGCCAAGGCGTGTAGTATCTTCTTAGGAAGACGACCATTAAGAGTGCTTCTAGTCTAACACGCACCCCAGGTGGAACCCACAGAAGATATGGAACTACTTTCTACAATGCAGGAATTGCTATCGAGGACCCAAAGGATCTTAATTCTGGGTGATTTCAATCTTCCGGAGATCTGTTTGGTAGAGGGAGAGGCTCCCGTTGGGACAAGAGGAGAAAGCTTTCTAACATGGATACATGAGCATGCGCTCCTTCAGCATATCATGCAGGCCACAAGGTTTCGCAACCAACAGAGGGCGTCCGTCCTGGACTTAGGTATAAGGCGGTATATATCGGACATAAGTGAGGTAGCAGTGGAGAATCCACTGGGTAAGTGACCATGGGGCACTTAGGTTAGTATTACCCATGAAATACAGAAAACCGGCTGCCCCACTTAAACGGTGCTATAGCCGTATAAACGCTGTTGCCCCACAAGAGGCCGCAGAACACGTAGATTGGGTGCCACTAGCTCCCGAGCCAACGTTGGAAGAGCGATGGTCAGTCTTCGTCTGTGGCACAAGCTAATCAGGTAGCTGTGTACACTTACTTAACCCAATATTACCAGTACACGGATTTGGCTTCAAAGCTTGATCGGTGGAACATTATTCAAGCCGGTACATACTTTCACAAGTAATATGACCTAATATTCCGTGATCGACATGTTTCTCGAATTCTATTTACCCAATTCTATCCGTCCACGTCTGTGGCACACGCTAATCAGGTAGCTGTGTACACTTTCTTAACCCATTATTACCAGTACACGTGACCAGCTTCAAAGCAGGATTCGTGGAACGCAATCCTGTCTGGTATATACTGTATATCTGTAGGCGACTCCGATACCCTATCAGTTTAGTACAACTTTCTTGATGTCCATTCATTTTCTGTGTTGTTCCGCTGCATGCTCCGTTTCCCGCTCTCCTTCCCCTTTTTCAGCTGGGTACTACCCCAAGCTGGTGCATATCGCCTCTTTGTTCCAGATTCGTTTGGTTTGGGCCTGACGAAGGCTTGGAATCCTCACCCGCAATGGAAGATTTGGCTCCGGCTATGGTTGTTGGGCACGGTTGTTTCCACCGTTTTGACTACACGCGTCCGCGTTGAGGACCAGGTTGAGGATCACATTCCCTGCCTCACCTACATGGTGATTTAAGGTTAGGTGTCTAGCGTGTAGTCAGTCCCACATCAAAGCGACCAAGGCCTAATTATTCTAAATAAACCAAACCACGCGTTGATTGATTGAAGCCCCGAACCCAATGAACTTGTCTCCAGAAGCGAGTTGTATTGCAGCATGNTTACCGACGTATTTTTTCTGGCTGTATTCCTTCCTTTCTATTCCTGTCCTCATGCTCTACCATCAGGCAGCATTTGTATTACAGACCCCTCTTCGTATTTCCCACACCTTTTCCGTACGGCCAATCTTTTCGAGACCAGCTTTACCATTACTTCCAGTTCTAGTGACATGCATTTTCAATGCATACTCCATCTTCCATAAATTCGTTTGTGACCAT